AATTGCGGAAGAATCGGACACCTTCAAAGAACTTGTCGAAGCAGGACTCGTTCAATGAATCGAGAATCGGAGAATTATGCTAGAAATTCACCTAAATCAACCTCCCGAAGCCCGTCACGAACTCCAACAAGGAATAATTATAGCAAATATGCCTCCCGGAGAAGCCGGTCACCCACACCTAGCCGGCTTTTTAACAATAGTCAGGGAAACGAATAAAGGTCGACACTACGGGGCAGGCGTCGGCTGTAGCAGAGGGCCCCAAAATTCGCACTTACATCTTAAATAAAAACAAAACATAATCTATTGGTCAAGGGGTATATCGATAACCAAGAAGGCACCTTCGTCCTTGATACTGGTGCAACTAAGTCTTTCATTCGAACAGGGATCCTGCATCGAAAACCACGACCAACTCGAAGAAGCTTAGTTCTGGAAACAGCTACAGGGCACACTACTCCTGTTTTAGGCGAGATATCAGCAACCGTACAGATTAGTAATACCCTGATAAAACACTTATTTCTGGTGGCCGATATTAAAGATCAATGTGTCCTGGGTATGGACATTATGCAAAATAAGTTTATCATCGACCTTCAAAACAAGAGCTTGGTAATTGGAAACAAGGAAATTGTCCTAAATTCGGAAGAAAAGACTCAACCGATAAAGGTCCTAGTTGAAGAAGACATAAAAGTACCCCAAAATTCTAAAGCTGTCGTCTCGGCGAGAAATCACACAGCTTGCATGTGGGCATTGTAGAAAGTGAAGAATCCGTGAGTGACGGAATTTTGGTAGCTAGATGTCTCGTTAACGTTGATCAACTAATTCCAGTAAGGGTTGCCAATTTAACGAAGAGACCATTCAAACTGAAGAAATGACAAGCAATAGGGCTCTGTACACCGGTGGAAAACATAATCAAGTGCGAAGACCGTTCCACGGGGAAAGCCACAAGTAACTCAGTTGACGCCAGCTTCGTAAAACAGCTAGTTAAAAATTATGACCACCTGACAGCTGAAGAACTTAGAAAAGTCAAAGAATTTATCAATTCCAACTATAACATTTTCGAAACAGGAAAATCTACGGGGCGTACCAGTCTTGTTCAGCACAGAATTTATACAGGCGATGCAAGACCAATACGACAGCACCTAGAAGACTCCCATTTGCTAAACAAAAAGAAGTAGCATACAGGACATGAAGGATGCAAATATCATTGAAGAAGCTTCTGGTCCCTGGTACTCACCGGTGATCCTAGTAACTAAGAAAGACGGATCTACTCGTTTCTGTGTAGACTATAGAAGATTAAATCAGATAACACAGAAAGACAGCTATCCACTCTCCCGAATAGACGACACACTAAACACTCTATCAGGTGCAAAATGGTTTACCACGCTAGACTTGAAGAGCGGATACTAGCAAGTAGAGGTACATCCTGACGAACGAGACAAAACTGCTTTTTTAACTGGTAGCGGATTATACAGATTCCAGGTTCTCCTGTTTGGTCTCTGTAATGCCCCAGCTACCTTTGAACGTCTAATGGAAATGGTTTTGATAGGATTAACCTGGAAAATTTGTCTAGTATATCTCGATGACATAATGATCATGTCAAAAACTTTTGATGAACATCTAACAAATTTGAGTGAAGTATTTGACAGATTAAGAAATAAAGCTTAATCACAATAAATGTTTACTATTTCAATCGGAAGCTTATTATTTGGGACATATCATTTCTGCGGAAGGAATCAAAACTGATCCGGAGAAAATTATCGCTATCAAAGATTGGCCTAAACCAAAAGATTAAAGAGAAATTATAAGTTTTCTTGGACTGTGCTCATATTACCGGAAATTCGTCAAGGACTTTGGCCGAATTGCTAAACCCCTTCATCGACTAACTGAAAACAGTAGTTTATTTGATTGGACGCCGGATTGTCAAAATGCCTTCACCGAGTTGAAAAAGCACATACTTTGATTTTCTTTTACTGCGCAGCTTTCTGAGTGCTGTTTAAAAGGAGATAGAAAACTCCGCCATTTTAATCCCTTATTACGTGTTGCCTACATCTTGGCACAATATTTTTAATAGGTGCGTTTTAATCATCCGGAATTGTCGGGTTTCTTGTTTTAATCTGACAGGTTAAAACGACTAAACTGACAATTCCGGAAGCAGAAGCGGATGATTAAAACGTACCTGATATTTTGCTTGTTGCTGTCAGTGTCAGTAATTATTATTTTTGGAGTCACAGTTTATTGCTAAAAAATCAGTTAGCTCACTCGGACCAGTTGAAAGTTCCAAAATAACATCCATTCCAGAGATACAAATTCAGTAGATATGCGCAGAAGAATGCTGTTTTATTATAGGTGGTTGTCATATATTGTATTATCCGAGTTGCGCAGTGTATAAACTGGAACATTGAGACCAATGTGCCGACGCAGAGTGAGCGATCTGATTCTTTAGCTATAAACTGTGGCATAGGAATCAAAATGGCCGCGCCCTATGTTGGGCATGTCGGACCTCTCTCTTGCACCGTATAGTAATCAAAGTATGTGTGAAAAAGCGACTGACCATCCTAGCCTATCCTCGAAAACAAGGACAATTTATTTTGGACTGTGATGCGTCCCAACACGGCTTGGGCGCCGTACTGTCCTAAGAACAAGAGAGGGAAGAGAAAGTAATCGCTTACTTTAGTAAGAACTTGGGAAAAGCTGTGAAGAATTATTGCGTCACCAGGAAAGAACTATTATCTATTGTCAAAGCCCTTGAACACTTCCATACTTACCTTTTTAACAGAAATTTTATCATTAGAAGTGACCATAGTGCCTTACAGTGGCTGATGAATTTTAAAAAACCTGAGGAACAAGTTGCTAGATGGATAGAAAGACTGCAATAATATAACTTTAAGATAGTGCATCGAAGGGGACGTCTCCATAGCAACGCAGATATTCTCTCCAGGCGACCCTGCTTAGAACGACAATGCCGGTATTGTAAAAGGCGCTAGTAATTGCTGTTATAAGCTTTTATAACATTATGTAGACAAAGAAAAACGAATAAAGATATTTTCAATTTTTTTAAGAGTGTATGTGTGTACATTTTATTAGTTGGGTGTCAGAAATATTACACAAGTTACCCCCTCCGCCTAGCTTAGAATTTTATTAACAAATTAATGGCACTATCTTTATTTAAAAAGACAAGAAAATGTTATAGAAGAATACTTAACGGTTCCTACCATCGTCTGACCGCGCAAGACCCAAATTATTGATTTTAGCCTTCTACAAGTGACCTTGAAAAACATACGGCTCCAATGCCGTACCAGTGGCATGTCTGAATATTTTTCTCCAGGAGAGTATAATTATTAAATGTCGTTAATATTTCGGAAATAAAACTAAAACGTTATTTATAACGTTACACATCCGGATATTATAAATGTTAAACAAGAACAATGGAATAATTGATAATAATTTGTAATTTTTTTTACATGTATACTAATAAAATTTTCACACTTGAAAAGACACACCTTCGTTTTTCTTTATCAATCTGTGTGTAGCTATCTACACCTACAAACCTTTGACTTATTTTGTAAATGATTAAAGTAGTAAGTATAAGGTAATGAATCTATTGAAAACAATCTTCTGCGTATATAAATATAATAAAAAGTTTAATTCAACACTTATTCATATAGGTAATTAAGATTTACAGATACAACCCTTTTGTACCTACCCTTTTCATCAATTTGCCCTGTTATAAGAACTACATTTTATTGCAATAGGAGATCCGTTCATGTGAGATTGTTTAGGAGTGGTAACAAAATAAGCATGTATCTTTGGAATGTCTTTATTAATTATCTAAAATGTTGCAGTTATAATTTAACACCGACTTTTCTGTAAACAACATCAAAATGTTACTTAACACTTATTTTTTTAAAATCCATTTGAACAATATTTTCAATTTTGTAGGAAAGAATACACACTATTTTCCTTATTTAATTATTGTTGTTTAATATGTTATATTTGTAGTTTAAATAAATATGGATGGACACTTTAACTAAAGATTTATTTAAATAATTCGGTTACACAGATTCGGTTACATACTTATAATAATTATGACAGACAAGTAACAAGTGGCACAATGACAATGTCTTTGTCATATGAAAGGGGGTGTGTTCCGTAACACACAACACGTAACACACAACACTTGACATTACACTAAACAATTGTCTCGTACACTATCATTGCGTTCGGTTTGCCACGTTCCTTTAACTCCTTTAACACTTTTAACTCCAAACGACTCTTTTAGCGTTCGGTTTAGTCCGATTAGTGACAGTTTAACACGCTTAAATGTCATTTAAAAGCACTCTAAAATTTGTCCCGCTCCAGCCCCTGACTGACCGAACTCGCCTTTAAGGTCTTTTCCTTTGCATCGAAAGTGTAGCACTGAGCTACATCACTTCTGAAAATATCGTTCCATTTATACAAATTGTATGGATGGAACGATATTTTCAGAAGTGATGTATCTCAGTGCTACACTTTCGATGCAAAGGAAAAGACCTTATAAAAACGATGAAAACTAGTAATATCCTCACTTTGTTTTGATGAAATATATGGGTGGTTATTATAAAAATGTGGTAGTATTTTTCTTCTCGTTGTTTTCACTTTTCACTTCGTTTGTTACATAGACTATGATTAGTAGACATTAATAAAATACCATTTTTTAAAAAAAATGGATACAGACGTATTTTTTACTTGATAAAGATAAAATTAACTGAATTTTTCTGACAGTTCGCAGTCATTATTTGTTTTATTTTGCGGTACTTCACCTTCTACCGACCTCTGGTGAAAAAAAAAAGAGTTGAAACACCTGTAAAATTTCATAACCGTGGCATGGAGGTATCAACCTCATTGGTATTTTGGTTATGAAGACTAGATAAACTCTAGTCTTCATATTTTTGGTAATGAATCTGTCACATTTTATTACAGCGTTGTACGACGATTTATTTTTCTAAAATATTTTTCTTTTACAGACATGTCTACGCAAAGCAATAGATTACGAGAAATATTAACAAACCCCCAATCTACCGTTGGTCATACGCCTCCAAAGAAAGTTAACACTTCCTCCTTGAAATCTCCAGATGTCGTTATTATCGACGACGATACTGAAGATAATGGTTTTAAAGAACAAAAGCCAGATTTAAATAAAAATTACCTAAGTGTAAGTAAATTCATGTTCCCAAATAAGACTGAATTACATGAAAATGTGAAGAAAGCATTGAAAAGAAAAGGTACATCTAAACAGCTAACAAAAAATAATGTAATAGAAAAAAACCCGAAGCCAATAGAAAGTATCCGAGATACAAAACCCGATAAGAAATTTGAGTCTGTTCACCCACCAGAAGATACAAAGAGAAAAAAGTTAAAACTAGACATTAAAAAACCACGCCCGTATAAAATGCCTATTGTATCAACTCCAGAACATAGAATGCACCCTAACTATCAAATATTCGAATCTTCAAAAGTTTTCACCCCGCCAAACAACACCGGAAGGCCATATTTATCTCAACCATTACTCAATTGTAGGACACCAGAAGATGTAACTCCAATGATTTCACATTCTCCCAGCGATATAAATTCTTCAGTAGTTCCTTATTCTAATCTAGGTCCACTTTCAACCCAGGCAAGTATCAATTCAAACTGGAAATCCTGGATATCTGAAGAACGAAAAAAGGGTTTTCTAGATGCCAGACCTCCCACTCATAGAAGACAGTCAGTTGAAACTATAAGTAGTGTCGGCAGTGACTATTCCCCGAATTTAGACCATGATGAAAACTATGTAAAAATAAGAGTAGACGCTAAGTGGTATAGAATTAAAAAAAGTGTAATGGAGAGTATTCCTAGAGGAAAACTTTGCTATGTTCGTGAAAATAATTGCCTTATAAGGTATTACGATGACAATCAACTAGCACAGTTTATCCAAAATATGAATATCAATTTAGTAGGTCCTGCTGCTTTTGATTTTTTAAAGCAAATCAGAGAAAGAGTTGATGGTTATTTGAGCGAAGATATTTTCATAACACCTTACGAGGTTACGGAAAAGAATCAAGCAATCCAACTATCAGAAAATATTAGTTTTACTAAAGATGATTACATATCGATACCCGAGTTATACGTAGAAGAAATGGAAAAAGTAGAAAGGTTTGTTCCAAAAGATTTCCTAGGTTTTTATAAATATGTCACAGGGTATCAAATTGTTAATAATCACCATCCCATATCGTTTCAGACGTTTCTAACTATGCACAATACTAATGGAATTAAAATGTTTTATAAGCGTTATTTGTTGTCTATTTTAGAAAATAAATTTGAGTAATAATTAAGTAGTATTTGACAAATCATAAGGCTGAATCGTATTATCAGACAATTATAGTTAGTTATACTCGAATAAATAAGATATAAACTAAAAAGCATTTAAGGACGGCGTGTGCCCATATCTAGGGAACCGTTTATCTGGACAATTTCGGATTTTTTTTTTAAATCGTTAAATTTCTTAAAAATATTTTTAACTTTGTAAATTTCTTTACAAAATATAATTTTATTTTTAATAAAAAAAATCTGTATTATTTTAAACCTAGCTTTCAGAAAACTAAACAATTATACATCTGTGGCAAACGGATTCTCCAGCGTCACCTTCATTTCCCACACACAAGTACATTTTTATCGAAAGCTATGTTTAAAGTAACCTCTGCATATACAGGGTGTTAAAAAAAAGTGTCACAAAATGAAATGGTGAATAGTATGACCCAAAATATGCAGAAAAGTCTTAATAAATATATGACCGCAAATTAACGGTTTCGGAGATACGGACCATTTTGTGTTTATAACAATTTTTTATTATTATAAAACACAATGATATTTATAAACAATCAATAACAACATAGAGTTAAATGAGATGTTCAAAGTGCTCTCCCTCCATTTCAATGCATTGCCATTTGCACGACCGTACATAAAATGCATGTCAGCTAATTCAATATTAGTGTAAACATAACGAAAATTTATAAAATTATTCACCCACAACAAAATAATAACTGCAAATAGTATCTATGAAAAAACATCGGTAGACTCCGATAAGAAAAGCAAGTTTTTGAGAATGAAAAAAGATAATCAAAAAATGATACAAAACACTCCGTATCTCTGAAACCATTCATTTGCGGACATATGTTTATTAAGACTTTTCTGCATATTTTGGCCCATACTACCCCCCGTTTTATTTTGTGACACTTTTTTTTAACACCCTGTATAGACTAGCTGGTAATGACATATTTTGTGCAACGTTTTTATAATATATGCGTCTTTTTAAGTTATGATTATTATAGGATTTTAACATGTTCCAGCCAATTATCTAAAAGTGCTCGCATGCAGCGGCGTACACTGGGGCAGAATGCATGCATTTAATCTTAACTTAATCAAGTTAATTATCGATAGATTTTTATTACAAAAAAAAATTCTTAAATCAACATATAGTCAATAGTGTGTGAAGTTCGATATATCCTATATTATAGAAAATATCAAATATTATTTACAAAAGTTGTAGATAATATTAATCTGCACATTTCAAAATTATTTTCGGTTATACAGAGTGATCCATAACTTCAGAATTGATCAAACTTATGTTTTTTTAAATGGACCACCCTGTATTTAATTGTAAATTTGAATTCCCCTGACTTTGCCCTTCAAGAAAATACTAACATGTATGAGGTTATACTGGGTATTTTGGAAGTTTAAACCAATTTTATATGAAAATCGTACTAGGTTCAAACCTCTGTATATTTCAAAAGAAATAATCGAACATCAAAATTTTTTTAATGAATCATTTTTAATGACAGTCTACTTTTATAAGTATATACTAGTTTTTTCCCAGCGCAACAGACGTGTACAGGGTGAGTCAAAACTCAGATACATGATTTTCTCAATTTTTTAAATGTAACACCCTGTATTTCATATCACTACTAAAAAGTACTCTAATTATACGTTCGTTTGAGTTAAATATTGCCTATCCCTAAACACAACAGTTTAGCGAGATTCTTAGATGAAATGTTAAGAAGGTTTAATTATAACTAAATTCACAATGTAATTTGATTTAAACTCCTGTTAAATAATTCATACTAGTTACTAGTTAATCAGGTTATATTTTTAAGGTACCTGGTACAAGTGTTAGAATTGAGATGAAAATATCAGTAAAATAAAAATATTTCAAAATCTTGAGACAAACATTACAGTAATACTTACTTCTATAGCATCTTTGGGTTACTTTATTTATAGTAAAGGCCTCTACATTTTCCGTTGCCATTTGCATTCTATGGTTTTTTCTACACATCTCTAAAAAAAAACAAAAATAGGTTTACATAGTGCCTTGTCTGCAATTTTATTACAAATTGCCCATATTTTGATTTCCTCTAAACACTTTTATAATGATTAGTTACAGTTACTTTATTACTAAGCATTAGCCTTAGACATCTTTAAATTAATATTATCCTATACAAAGAAAGATGTTGAAATAAACCCAGATTCTTGAATTTTACGAGTTTTTTGCTAGTGAAAAGAATAATGGTGTTTCCTCAGAAGATTCAGTAAGAAGCTTACATTTTACATTCTACTGAAGCTAATGCTCTATTATTATTATTATTACCCCTTAGGTGGGTATATCGTGAGAAAAAATAAAAACTCCATCACGTCCCTAGCAAATCTGCCAATGTTTGGTTATGTGTCATACTCTTCTTCTTTTTTTTCCTAGTGGCCTTATCCGTTTAGTGAGCCTGTTAACTATGTCTTCATTTGTACTTATAGATAATAAAACAAAATAGTTAAATATAACATAATATTCTACAGAGATATCTATACAATATGAAAAATTAATAAGCAGAGCATATCAAAAATACATATGCCTGGAATATCTTTCAGAATGTAGAATATGAAATATATTCTGTGAATATTTCATATATTGCAATATATTTTGGCAAATAGGCAGAATGGTGGCATATGCCAGGGATATAGTGTGCTGTCTAGGATTTGCATCATGACAATGTTCTCGTATATGTTTTGTTACTGTTATGTTTTCACCTTCGCCCAAAGTAAGGACGAATGATTTGCACTTTCTATTTGTGCAAACCATGAAAACCATACTTATAGTTATCTATAATTTATAACTGTTTTTCTTATTTCACTCAAAATAATTTCGGGATTCATTGCAGAAATTAATAAAAACAACTTCAAACACAAGTGAAAGCTACTGCTATTCTATATAATTAACTTATAAGATTGACATCTAACGAATAGTGATGATAGAACTGGTTCATTTTATACAGTGTTTTACAAATTCAATACGCTGCATATTATTTTAGCATTAAATTCGTTATGAATGTACCTACCCAACGATACTAACATGTTAGCGTATTGTACATATACAGGGTGTCCCATCAGTGCGTACATGATCAATAGCTGTTTTATTTTTGAAGATACGAGGACATTTTTAATACATTCTTAAATCTATAGGGTAGTCCATGAATGAGGGGCGAACCAAACTTATACTTTTTTTAGATCAAACCATCTGGACAACAGATTTGGTTATTTTCACATCGTTAAATAATTTTATTAGACTTATAATTCTTAAAATGTTTTCTATTTGATGTATACAGTGCGTGACTAAACGCGAGATTATTCAATACCCTTTTCGTTATACCACATATTCAATGTTGTATCAAAAACATATAATTTTATTTTTAAAAATAACTACACAATCCACTCGACCATTCACTTGTTGGGTTCTAATTAACAGTGCTGTTCCTAAAGTGGCGCTGGGAAACAGTAACAAAGCCTACACAGAACACGAGGCTAATGACCTTAGCAGTCGATGCCAATGACACCAAATTAAAAAAAAAACTACGCAATCATCTAAAAATGTATCTAAGTCTTTGTCGTAAATTAACTACGATTCCAGTTGTACTTTTTAAACTAGATTCTACATTAGCCCATTTTATTCGTTGCCCCAATTTTGATTGTATCCCAACCCAATATGTCTATTTAAAATTAATGTTCTAAAATGTTTAAAATGTCCCACATTAGTTTCTAATTTACGTAAAGCACCAATAGATAAATTATTTTATCGTCTACTACGAATTGCTTTATTACCTGATTTAACTTGTCTTTGTAAACGTTTTAACCAAATCCCCGCATCTCTAATTGTAAAATGATCAAACAAAGTTTTTTTATAGCCACCAATACACTGTCAGATTGTTTAATAACACTGAAAGGATTCATTTTGGATAAACACCGGCAAACGAAAAAAATGTTAAAAAAAATCGCTTACACTTTTCCCCCTTTTTTTAAGTTTCTATTATTTCAAATGATGCCGCTGGATTCAGATTTCCAACGTCTACTTCACCTCTGAATATGATTGAATATCTTGACGCCGTGTTTGGTCGATACAGTTCCGTAACTCTCTGCGGCAAAAAGGTTACTCCGTGATCCAATTCCAACAGTACTGATTCACTAAATTTTCCTTTGGATATTTTGGCTGCTAGGATAGTATGTGGAATGTCCAAAGGTAGAGTACTCAGCATCACGACTGGTTTATTTTCTTTTTCTTTAATTAAAGAACATTCATTTAGTTTGTTTAAGTTCATCTAAAAAAATTAATAATTTAAACAGGATTTACTAAAACTAGAAGCAAAATAATTAACTAGAGAAAAAAATGCATGAAAACTATTTATAAAAATCTATACATAAAGCATTACTTAAATCTACTTACTTTTAAAACGATAATGTTGGGGATCTGTAGTTGCTGTAGTTTAGCAGCTGATCTGTAGTTGCTGTAGATTGACGGCTAACTAAAGAACAATCTTTTAGTTTATTAAAAATTATCAATTTTGAAACTTTTAAAAAGTTCACAAAGTTATCAAAACTAAAACAAATTGTAAAATGTATTTTTATAAAAATCAATAATTAAATAAGAAATTGAAAATGTATCAAAAATCGTTTCCTCAAAAACAAAAATCTAATATCTTACTACTTGTAAGCAAAAGTGCAAAAACAGCAATAGTCCCTCATAATTTTTAAAAAAGAAATTATAATTAAAAAACAAAGAGTAAAAATCTAATGCTTAGAAATTCAGTAAAATCGTTTTTCTAATTTAAGCTGTATTAAATTGAAGATAAAGAAAGTAAAAAATCAATATATATTTCCTACCTTAACTCCTTTGTCAAACAAAACTACTATTAATCACTTGTTCTTACTACTGCTTCTGTTTGTGGTGAAACGTCTAATGAGTAGCGTCAGCTTATTCTGGTATTTATATCTACTGAGTTCTATCAGGCGATAATTCTAGAAATTTCCGTTACAATCGCAAGATATGCATTTCCTGTAAATGTGGTTTCAACGGTCTGAGAATTTTCTTATCAAAATTCTTACTTTTATAATTATTGTGGTCTGGGATAATATTTTATCAATTTTATACTTTCAACAAATGTGGTTTGTTTCACGCTCAGTTCGAGTTCAACATAAACAAAGCAAAACGTGCACTGTCATTTATAAAATTCATTCGTTGACGTTCGCGCTCAGTTCGAGTTCAGTTAACGCTGAGAAATGACCCAACTTTTATGTTCGTCGAACGTCGAGCCAATGAAAAACAGGTATCTGGTTATTTGATCACGCATGCGTCAACGGGATCCTAAAATGACATGGTAGCTTTGTTTTGAATACAAAATTATAACGGATTTATAATTATTTTATAACCAACACCATCTACAAATGAAATTAAAACAAAATAACAACGAAATATAATTTATTTTGTGGAATTTGTGGTTATGTCTTGTCTAATCAAATGTCAAAATGCGCAGCGATTAACGAACGGCCAACGACTTTATAAATTGGGTCCAGCTCGAACTCACCAACTCGAACTAAGCGTGAAATGAACGCCAACTGAACGTAATTTATAAATCCAGCTTAATTGTTCTTCACTTCTTCTTTTTTACATTTTTAATTAACAATTTCGGGACTACACGAAAGAGGCGTAAGCAGATTATTTTCCGAGGTATATATTTTTTTAATTTTAACAAAACACGATTTGCATGTATTTACTAATCGTTTGGCATTGTCCATTTTCTATACAAATTTAAATTTGCTTGGTGACGCCGCTGCATGCGAGAACTCTAACAGCCGTATGCATAGTCGATCGCCAGCGACTCGCCAGAGATTCATTCCGGCGTTTCGCCAGCGATTCGCTGGCGATCTGCCGGCGAAAGCCCAAAAAGATGGCGTCTCGCCGGAGATTGTCACCGAAATGTCATTTTACGCAAGTTTTTATTTTCTTTTATAGGGATTATCACCGGTATCTCACGCATTTTATTCATGATTCGTTTCTTAAAACTCAAAAAATAATGAACGAATATC